AACCAGGACTAAACCAGGACTAAACCAGGACTAAACCAGGACTAAACCAGGACTAAACCAGGACTAAACCAGGACTAAACCAGGACTAAACCAGGACTAAACAGCCAGGACTAAACCAGGACTAAACCAGGACTAAACCAGGACTAAACCAGGACTAAACCAGGACTAAACCAGGACTAAACCAGGACTAAACCAGGACTAAACCAGGACTGAACCAGGACTAAACCAGGACTAAAACCAGGACTAAACCAGGACTAAACCAGGACTAAACCAGGACTAAACCAGGACTAAACCAGGACTTAAAACCAGACTAAACCAGGACTAAACCAGGACTAAACCAGGACTAAACCAGGACTCTAAACCAGGACTAAACCAGACTAAACCAGGAGGTCTAAACCAGGACTAAACCACTAAACCAGGACTAAACCAGGACTAAACCAGCGTCAGGACTAAACCAGGACTAAACCAGGACTAAACCAGGACTGAACCAGGACTAAACCAGGACTGAACCCTAAACCAGGACTAAACCAGGACCAGGGGACTAAACCAGGACTAAACCAGACTAAACTGAACCAGACTAAACCAGGACTAAACCAGGACTAAACCAGTAAACCAGGACTAAACCAGGGACTAAACCAGGAAACCAGGACTGACTAAACCAGGACTAAAGGACTAACTAAACCAAAAACCAGGACTACCAGGACTAAACCAGGTCTCTAAACCAGGACTAAACCAGACTAAACCAGGACTGAACCAGGACTAAACCAGGACTAAACCAGGACTAAACCAGGACTAACCAGGACAAACCAGGTCTAAACCAGGGACTAAACCAGGACTAAACCAGGACTAAACCAGACTAAACCAGGACTAAACCAGGACTAAACCAGGTCTAAACCAGGACTAAACCAGGACTAAACCAGGACTAAACCAGGACTAAACCAGGACTAAACCAGGACTAAACCAGGACTGAACCAGGACTAAACCAGGACTAAACCAGGACTAAAACTGACTAAACCAGACTAAACCAGGACTTAAACCAGGACTAAACCAGGGACTAAACCAGGACTAAACCAGGACTAAACCAGGACTAAACCAGGACTGAACCAGACTAAACCAGGACTAAACCAGGACTAAACCAGGCTAAACGGACTAAACCAGACTAAACCAGGTCTTAAACCAGGTCTAAACCAGGACAGGACCTAAACCAGGACTAAACCAGGACTAAACCAGGACTAAACCAGGACTAAACCAGGACTAAACCAGGACTAAACCAGGACTAAACCAGAACCAGGACTAAACCAGGACTGAACCAGGACTGAACCAGGACTAAACCAGGACTAAACCAGGTCTAAACCAGGTCTAAACCAGGACTAAACCAGGACTAAACCAGGACTAAAACCAGGACTAAACCAGGACTGAAACCAGGACTAAACCAGGACTAAACCAGGTCTAAACCAACCAGGACCTAAACCAGGACTAAACCACTAAAACCAGGACTAAACCAGGACTAAACCAGGACTAAACCAGGTCTAAACCAGGTCTAAACCAGGACTAAAACCAGGTCTAAACCAGGACTAAACCAGGACTAAACCAGGACTAAACCAGGTCTAAAACCAGGACTAAACCAGGACTAAACCAGGACTAAACCAGGACTAAACCAGGTCTAAACCAGGACTAAACCAGGACTAAACCAGGACTAAACCAGGACTAAAACCAGGACTAAACCAGGTCTAAACCAGGGTAAACAGGACTAAACCAGGGACTAAAACCAGGACTAAACCAGGACTAACCTAAACCAGGACTAAACCAGGGACTGAACCAGGACTAAACCAGGACTAAACCAGGACTAAACCAGGACTAAACCAGGTCTAAACCAGGACTGAACCAGAACTAAACCAGGTCTAAACCAGGACTGAACCAGGACTAAACCAGATCTAAACCAGGACTGAACCAGAACTAAACCAGGTCTAAACCAGGTCTAAACCAGGACTAAACCAGGACTAAACCAGGACTAAACCAGGTCTAAACCAGGACTGAACCAGAACTAAACCAGGACTAAACCAGGACTAAACCAGGACTAAACCAGGACTAAACCAGGACTAAACCAGGACTAAACCAGGTCTAAACCAGGACTGAACCAGAACTACCAACTAAACCAGGGGACTAAACCAGGACTAAACCAGGAAAACCAGGAAAAACCAGGTCTAAACCAGGACTAAACCAGACTAAACTAAACCAGGACTAAACCAGGACTAAACCAGGTCTAAACCAGGACTGAACCAGAACTAAACCAGGACTAAACCAGGACTAAACCAGGACTAAACCAGGACTAAACCCAGGACTAAACCAGGTCTAAACCAGGACTAAACCAGGACTAAACCAGATCTAAACCAGGACTAAACCAGAACTAAACCAGGGTCTAAACCAGGTCTAAACCAGGACTAAACCAGGACTAAACCAGGACTAAACCAGGTCTAAACCAGGACTAAACCAGGTCTAAACCAGGACTAAACCAGGACTAAACCAGGACTAAACCAGGACTAAACCAGGACTAAACCAGGACTAAACCAGGACTAAACCAGGTCTAAACCAGGACTGAACCAGAACTAAACCAGGTAAACCAACTAAACCAGGACTAAACAGGACTAACCAGAGTCTAAACCAGGACTGAACCAGAACTAAACCAGGACTAAACCAGGACTAAACTAAACCAGACTAAACCAGGACTAAACCAGGAAACTAAAACAGACTAAACCAGGACTAAACCAGACTAAACCACTAAACCAGGACTAAACCAGGACTAAACCAGGACTGAACCAGAACTAAACCAGACTAAACCAGATAAACCAGACTAAACCAGGACTAAACCAGGACTAAACCAGGTCTAAACCAGGACTAAACCAGGTCTAAACCAGGTCTGACCTCCTTTGCTGTTGGTCCAGTAGATGAACAGGTTCATGGTTCCCACTTCAGTTATTTCCTCGTCGGGGCCGTAGAGCCACAGGACCTGCTGACAGCCGCGCTTCACCGCCTCATTCTGCACCGCGATGGTCGGACCGTAGTTACTGCAACACGACAGCAGAGGGCGACACATCACACACCAGTGTCACAGGGTTTAACAGAGAAAAGAACTTTACACATGAGTCCAGTCAAGTGTCACCGGAGGAAACAGAGGCAGATGTTTGACATTCAAATGTCTCTTCTTCAGAAACTAGAGGAACTATTGAAATAAGTAAAGTATCAGAATGTAGGAAAGAGTTACACTCCAACAGGGTCAAGTTAAACCTGTGAGATTCTTTCAAGTTCAAGACAAAAAATGAAAAAAACTCATGTCGGTAACGGAGGAATGAAATTACAATAAATCCAAACAGTGATAACTCTTGGTTCTCACTTCCATATCCTTAACAAACTGGTTTGAATATTTGCTTCATATAGTTTTCTACCATATGGTACAAGATTAGGTTGAAAAACCTCTGACTTTTTGACTCATGAGATTTTTTATTAAGAAAGTTCATGGTAACGGAGGGAAAAGTAACGGAGGGAAAATTGTACAAACAAGTAGAAGGTGCAGGATTTTACATCATTTGTGGCTTTTTTCTTCTGAAAACTTTAATATTACTTCAAAATGAAAGAAACTGTTTCTATAAAATATGTCAGTCCTTCCAAGAACATTTTTATCATTTTAAATACTTTTTTTTTTAAAAATCCTGTCCCTTCATCAACAGTTCAAAGATGGAATAACACAAGATATGATGAAATACAAACATTTATTTACATGATTTTGTCTTTGAAATTTGGGAAATAATTTTTGTTCCATGTTTCATTCATGGTCTGTTTAAAACGAATGGAACTTTAGAACCAAAAACGGTCCAGAAAAAAGGTGAACAGTTTGATAAACTCGAGTACATATGTATCTGTTCAATACACTTTTATATCAGATGAATTATTCACTGGAAGTTTTGGTCTTGATGTTTACTTCTGTTTGACCAGGTCCATGTATTTATACTGTTTCTAAATGTAAACAGATGAATAATAAAGATTTACTCAAACATGTGAATGAAACAAACACAAGTCAAACTCTGTTTGTGAAGAGGAACATTAGAACATTAGAACATTGGAACATTAGAACATGACCTAAATCTCACCAGAGTCAGTTTTTTGTTTTTTGTTTTTTGTTTTGATAATCGAGGAGCTTCAGAGGACGAGGTCAGTGTCACGAGGATCTGGCCTCAGATAAAACAAGAACAAAAAAATATAAAACATCTGCAGCTTTACATCAAAAAAAACTGTCAAAAATAAAAGAAATAAACTCTGAGCTCAGGGACCGAAGTCCTGGTCTAGACCTGGTTTAGTCCTGGTCTAGACCTGGTTTAGTCCTGGTTTAGTCCTGGTTTAGTCCTGGTTTAGTCCTGGTCTAGTCCTGGTTTAGTCCTGGTTTAGTCCTGGTTTAGTCCTGGTTAGTCCTGTTTAGTCTGGTTTAGTCCTGGTTTAGTCCTGGCTAGTCCTGGTTTAGTCCTGGTTAGTCCTGGTTTAGTCCTGGTTTAGTCCTGGTTTAGTCCTGGTCTAGTCCTGGTTTAGTCCTGGTTTAGTCCTGGTCTAGTCCTGGTCTAGTCCTGGTTCAGTTTGAACATGTGAGACTCAGACTTGGTTTAAATTTTCATTCTTCATTCTGTTCACTTCTTCTTCTCTCTCATTATTTGTCTTTCTTTCATTTTAGTTTTTATTGTGATTTTAATGTTTTTCTTATTCTGTAAAACTCTTTAAATGTCTTAAATAAACTTGTTTTCCCTGATCTGGTCTTGGTCCAGTTTTTGTTTCCCAGGATAAAACCACAGCCCAAAAACCGCTTCAGATCTCATCTGATAAACTCAAGTGTTTCCTCCTGCAGGGCTCACAGTTCAGCTGCAGACGAGTCCTCAGACGAGTCCTCAAAAAACCTCAAAAAACCTCAGAAAACCTCAGAAAACCTTGTTCTACTCAGAACAAAACAGAACAGAGCAGAACACACATCGGGTCAGAACCTCCACACGTGTTTGTCATTCAGCCGTTTGAGGACGAATCTCAGCAGGAACAGAGTTTATATAAACACCAACAAACGAACTGTTTACACAAGTGTCATGAAGATCATTAGACCGAGTTTCAGTCCTGGTTCAGTCCTGGTTCAGTCCTGGTTTAGACCTGGTCCAGTCCTGGTTTAGACCTGGTTAAGACCTGGTTTAGACCTGGTTCAGTCCTGGTTTAGACCTGGTTTAGTCCTGGTTTAGTCCTGGTTTAGTCCTGGTTTAGTCCTGGTTTAGTCCTGGTCCAGTCCTGGTTTAGTTCTGGTTCAGTCCTGGTTTAGACCTGGTTTAGACCTGGTTTAGACCTGGTTTAGTCCTGGTTTAGACCTGGTTTAGACCTGGACCACTGAGGATTTCACAGATATAAGAACATGTGGAACATCTCAGGAGTTCATCTAAAGAAAGACGGTTTTTATTTTCCTCCTGGGATCAGAATCAGTCTTGAGTCTGGAGTCTGGAGTCTTCTGGAGTCGAGTCTGGAGAGTCGAGTCTGGAGTATCGAGTATCGAGTATCGTATGTCTGGAGTCTCGAGTCTCGAGTCTGAGGAGTCTGTCGAGTGAGTGTGGAGTGAGTTGGAGGTGGTGAGTGTGGGTGTGGAGTCTGGAGTGTGTGGGAGTCTGGAGTGTGGAGTGTGGAGTTCTGGATGTGGAGTCTGGAGTCTGGAGTCTGGAGTGTGGAGTCTGGAGTCTGGAGTCTGGAGTGTGGAGTGTGGAGTGTGGAGTGTGGAGTCTGGAGTGTGGAGTGTGGAGTGTGGAGTGTGGAGTGTGGAGTCTGGAGTGGAGTCTGGAGTGTGGAGTGGAGTCTGGAGTCTGGAGTGTGGAGTCTGGAGTGTGGAGTCTGGAGTGTGTGGAGTGTGGAGTGTGTGAGTTGGAGTGTGGAGTGTGGAGTGTGGAGTGTGGAGTGTGGAGTGTGGAGTGTGGAGTGTGGAGTGTGGGTGTGGAGTCTGGAGTCGTGGAGTGTGGAGTGTGGAGTGTGGAGTGTGGAGTGTGGAGTGTGGAGTGTGGAGTCTGGAGTGTGGAGTGGAGTGTGGAGTGTGTGAGTTGGAGTCTGGAGTGAGTCTGGAGTGTGGAGTGGAGTGTGGATGTGGAGTCTGGAGTGTGGAGTGTGGAGTGTGGAGTGTGGAGTGTGGAGTGTGAGTGGGGAGTTGGAGTGTGGAGTCTGGAGTGTGGAGTGTGGATGGAGTGTGGAGTGGAAGTGTGGAGTGTGGAGTCTGGAGTAGTGGAGTGGAGGTGGAGTGTGGAGTGTGAGTGTGGAGTGTGAGTGTGGAGTCTGGAGTGTGGAGAGTGTGGAGTGTGGAGTGGAGTGGGAGTCTGGAGTTGGAGTGTGGAGTCTGGAGTGTGAGTGTGGAGTGTGGGTGCTGGAGTGTGGAGTGTGGAGTGTGGAGTGTGTGGAGTCTGGAGTGTGGAGTGTGGAGTGTGGAGTGTGGAGTTGGAGTCTGGAGTGTGGAGTCTGGAGTGTGGAGTCTGGAGTCTGGAGTGTGGAGTGTGGAGTCTGGATTGGAGTGTGGAGTGTGGAGTGTGGAGTCTGGAAGTCTGGAGTGTGGAGTGTGGAGTGTGGAGTGTGGAGTCTGGAGTGTGGAGTGTGGAGTGGAGTGGAGTGTGGAGTGTGGAGTGTGGAGTGTGAGTGAGTGTGTGGAGTGTGGAGTGTGGAGTCTGGAGTCTGGAGTGTGGAGTGGAGTGGAGTGTGGAGTGTTGGAGTGGGTGGAGTCTGGAGTCTGAGTGTGGAGTGTGGAGTCTGGAGTCTGGAGAGTGTGGAGTGTGGAGTGTGGAGTGTGGAGTCTGATGGAGTGTGGAGTGTGGAGTCTGGAGTGTGGAGTCTGGAGGTGAGTTGGAGTGTGGAGTCTGGACTGGAGTGTGGAGTGTGGGAGTGTGGAGTTGTGGAGTGTGGAGTGTGGAGTGGAGTGGAGTGGAGTCTGGAGTGTGTGGAGTGGAGTGTGGAGTGTGGAGTGTGGAGTCTGTGGAGTGTGGAGTGTGGAGTGTGGAGTGGAGTGTGGAGTGTGGGGAGTGTGGAGTGGAGTGGAGTGTGGAGTGTGGAGTGTGGAGTGTGGAGTCTGGAGTGTGGAGTCTGGAGTCTGGAGTGGAGTGGAGTCTGGAGTGTGGAGTCTGGTGTGTGGAGTCTGGAGTGGTGGAGTGTGGAGTCTGGAGTGTGGAGTGTGGAGTGTGAGTGTGGAGTGTGGAGTGTGGAGTGTGGAGTTGGAGTCTGGAGTGGAGTCTGAGTGTGGAGTGTGGAGTTGGAGTGTGAGTCTGGAGTCTGGAGTGTGGAGTGTGGAGTGGAGTGTTCTGGAGTGTGGAGTGTCTGGAGTCTGGAGTGGAGTCTGGAGTGGGAGTGTGGAGTCTGGAGTGTGGAGTGTGGAGTGTGGAGTGTGGAGTGGATGTGGATCTGGAGTGTGGAGTGTGGAGTTGGAGTGGGAGTGTGGAGTGTGGAGTGTGGAGTGTGGAGTGTGGAGTGTGGAGTGTGGAGTGTGAGTGTGGAGTCTGGAGTCTGGAGTGTGGAGTTGGAGTCTGGATGTGGAGTCTGGAGTTGTGGAGTGTGGAGTGTGGAGTGTTGGAGTCTGGAGTGTGGAGTGTGGAGTGTGGAGTGTGGAGTGGAGTGTGGAGTGTTGAGTCTGTGTGGAGGTGGAGTGTGGAGTCTGGAGTGTGGAGTGTGGAGTGTGAGTCTGGAGTGTGAGTGTGGAGTCTGGAGTGTGGAGTGGAGTGTGGAGTGTGGAGTGTGTGGTAGAGTGTGAGTGTGGAGTGTGGAGTGTCTGGAGTCTGTGAGGGAGTCTGGAGTGTGCGAGTGGAGTGTGGAGTGTGGAGTGGAGTGTGGAGTGTGGAGTGTGGAGTGTGGAGTGTGGAGTGTGGAGTGGAGTGTGGAGTGTGGAGTCTGGAGTCTGGAGTGTTGGAGTGGGAGTCTGGAGTGTGGAGTCTGGAGGGTGGAGGAGTGTGAGTGTGGAGTCTGGAGTGTGGAGTGTGGAGTGTGGAGTGTGGAGTTGGAGTCTGGAGTGTGGAGTGGAGTGGAGTCTGGAGTGTGGAGTGTGGAGTGTGGAGTGTGGAGTGTGGAGTGGAGTGGATCTGGAGTGTGGATGGAGTGGAGTGTGGAGTGTGGAGTGTGTGGAGTGTGGAGTGTGGAGTCTGGAGTCTGGAGTGTGTGGAGTCTGGAGTGTGAGTGTGGAGTGGAGTGTGGAGTGTGGAGTGTGGAGTCTGGGAGAGTGTGGAGTGTGGAGTGTGGAGGTTGGGTGTGGAGTGTTGGAGTCTGGAGTGTGGAGTGTCTGGAGTGTGGAGTGTGGAGTGTGGAGTCTGGAGTCTGGAGTCTGGAGTCTGGAGTGTGGAGTCTGGAGTTGGAGTTGGAGTGTGGAGTGTGGAGTGGAGTCTGGAGTGTGGAGTCTGGAGTGTGGAGTTGTGGAGTGTGGAGTGTGGAGTGTGAGTGTGGAGTGGAGTCTGGAGTGGAGTGTGGAGTGTGGAGTGTGGAGTCTGGAGTCTGGAGTCTGGAGTGTGGAGTGTGGAGTGTGGAGTGTGGAGTGTGGAGTGTGGAGTCTGATGGAGTGTGGAGTCTGGAGAGTGTGGAGTGTGGAGTGTGGAGTCTGGAGTCTGGAGTCTGGAGTCTGGAGTGTGGAGTGTGGAGTGTGGAGTGTGGAGTGTGGAGTGTGGAGTGTGGAGTCTGGAGTCTGGAGTCTGGAGTCTGGAGTCTCGAGTCTGGAGTCTGGAGTGTGGACAGAGTTTACGTCTGCGTACGGTGACACAGCGGTGAAGTATGGGCGTGGCCACTCACCCTCCCATCTTGTAGGCCCCGACTCCGCCCCTCCAGGCTCGGACGAAGGCGGGGTCAGCGAGCAGAGACACCGGGTTAAAGGAGCCGGTGGAGAAGTACGGACCCACCGGACCCACGATCACGAAGATCATGGCCTTTCCAGCACGAGACACGCCCAGAGACGGCTGAGGACACAAGAGGACACGGTCAGGACAAACAGGACCGAGACCAGACCAGACCTGACCAGACCTGGACCAGACCTGGACCAGACCTGGACCGAGACCAGGACCAGACCAGGACCAGACCAGACCAGAGACGGCTGAGGACAGAAGAGGACACGGTCAGGACAAACAGGACCAGGACCGAGACCAAACCTGGACCAGACCTGGACCAGACCTGGACCGAGACCAGGACCAGACCAGGACCAGACCAGACCAGAGACGGCTGAGGACAGAAGAGGACACGGTCAGGACAAACAGGCTCCATGTTGGAGACTCGTGCTCCAAACAAACCTGTGTCCAGATGAACGTGGCTCTGATGTTCTGTGTGTTTGTGCAGGAGAATGAACGGGATTATATATTTAGTACACATATATGTAGTACATGTGTAGTATACATGTGTAGTATACATGTGTAGTATACATGTGTAGTATACATGTGTGTAGTATACATGTGTGTAGTATACTGTAGTATTACAGTGTATACATGTGTAGTATACATGTATGTAGTATACATGTGTGTAGTATACATGTGTAGGTAGTATACATGTAGTACATGTGTAGTATACATGTGTGTAGTATACATGTGTAGTATACATGTGTAGTATACATGTGTGTAGTATACATGTGTGTAGTATACATGTGTAGTATACATGTGTAGTATACATGTGTAGTATACATGTGTGTAGTATACATGTGTAGTATACATGTTGTAGTATACATGTGTGTAGTATACATGTGTGTAGTATACATTGTGTAGTATACATGTGTGTAGTATACATGTGTAGTATGTAGTAGTATACATGTGTGTAGTATACATGTGTGTGTAGTATACATGTGTGTATAGTAGTATACATGTGTGTAGTATGTGTTATACATGTTGTAGTATACATGTGTGTAGTATACATGTGTGTATAACATGTGTGTAGTATACATGTGTGTAGTATACACATGTGTAGTATACATGTGTAGTATACATGTGTAGTATACATGTGTACATGTGTAGTATACATGTGTGTAGTATACATGTGTAGTATACATGTGTAGTATACAGTGTATACATGTGTGTAGTATACATGTGTGTAGTATACATGTGTAGTATACATGTGTGTAGTATACATGTGTGTAGTATACATGTGTAGTGTGTGTAGTATACATGTGTGTATGTAGTATACATGTGTGTATAGTATGTGTATACATGTGTGTAGTATACATGTGTGTAGTATACATGTGTGTAGTATACATGTTGTAGTATACATGTGTAGTATACAGTGTGTAGTATACATGTGTGTAGTATACATGTGTGTAGTATACATGTGTAGTATACATGTGTAGTATACATGTGTAGTATACATGTGTGTAGTATACATGTGTAGTATACATGTGTGTAGTATACATGTGTGTAGTATACATGTGTGTATACATGTAGTATACATGTGTGTAGTATACATGTGTAGTACACATGTGTGTAGTATACATGTGTAGTATACATGTGTGTAGTATACATGTGTGTATGTGTATATACATGTGTGTAGATACATGTGTAGTACAGTAGTATACATGTGTGTGTGTAGTACATGTGTATACATGTGTAGTATACATGTGTAGTATACATGTGTGTAGTATACATGTGTAGTATACATGTGTGTAGTATACATGTGTAGTATACATGTGTAGTACTGTAGTAAAGTACTTGTATGATTGAGTTTGTGTAGTTTTCAGTCTTACCTCGGTCCCGATGAACGTGGGTCTGATGTACAGACTCGTGTTTGGAGCTGATGGGACCCAGTCCTGATCCAACTCCACCAAACTCTTAATGCACTTCAGCAGCTCCTCTTTATCAAACAACTGCACGAAAACAACAACAACAATCAAGTTACTATATTATTATATTATTATATTATTTTATTATTATATTATTATTATATTATTTTATTATGGAACAGACAGAGACAAACAGACAAAAACAAACTAATATTATTACACATGAAACAGACAGAAAATGCTTTAAAAAGACACAGTTGGACACGGTTGGACGGAGACGGTTGGACGGAGACGGTTGGACAGTTTCTCCCTGGAGCTGTTTGTGTTTCTGTGTGTTATGTGACTCACTGTCCACATGACTGAAGGACAAAGACACGAACTCAAGGACAAAAGGAAAAGGACAAGAGAGAGAGAGAGAGAAACAGAGAGAGAGAGAGAGAGGGGAAAGAAAGGAGGAGTGGAGAGGAGTGTCTTTGGGGTGTGTGTGGCTGGGGGGTGTGGGGGGAGGTGTGTGTGTGGGGTGTGTGGGGGGGGGGGGGGGGGGTGAGTCATAAACTATGATGGAAATAAACCCAGTGTCAGTGAACACAACACGCTGCTGCTTTCAAGGAACAACAGATCAAACACAACAGAGACACTTTTCACTGTCCCACTCTGTCCCACTCTGTCCCACACCCACCTCACACTGTCTCACACTGTCTCACACTGTCCACACTGTCCACTACTTCCCACTGTCCACACTGTCCCACACTGTCTCACACTGTCTCACACTGTCTCACACTGTCTCACACTTGTCTCACACTGTCTCACACTGTCTCAACACTGTCCCACACTGTCCCACTCTGTCTCACACTGTCTCACACTGTCTCACACTGTCCCACACTGTCTCACACTGTCCCACACTCACACTGTCTCACACTGTCCCACACTGTCCCACACTGTCCCACACTGTCCCACTCTGTCTCACACTGTCCCACACTGTCCCACACTGTCCCACTCTGTCTCACACTGTCCCACACTGTCCCACACTGTCCCACACTGTCTCACACTGTCTCACACTGTCCCACACTGTCCCACACTGTCCCACACTGTCCCACACTGTCTCACACTGTCTCACACTGTCTCACACTGTCCCACACTGTCCCACACTGTCTCACACTGTCCCACACTGTCCCACACTGTCCCACTCTGTCTCACACTGTCCCACTCTGTCTCACACTGTCCCACACTGTCTCACACTGTCTCACACTGTCTCAGAATGTCTCACTCTGTCTCCGTTTCTTCATTCCACATTTGAGTGATCACAGTTGGACAGTTCATCTGTTCTCCAAGTTGAAAAGTTAAACCAGGTTCACTCTTTTCCACTGACAGAATTTCAAAACTTTTCCTTGACTTTACGGCTCCTACATGTGAAGAACTGATCAGACTTTTAGAGCTAAATCTGAAATGTTTAACTCTTTCCACTCACTTTATGTTTGGGATTATAGTTTTTGAACTTTCTAAATCCTGTCAGTGTGTTTCCTGTCGACTCTTTTAAATAAAACACTGAGACGTTCACAAAGAATCAGACAGACTCATGAGAACTGAACACAACACTGGAGCTGCGGGAAACAAACACTAAAATTCCATCACTTTTAAAGGCCTGGAAAATTACATTTTCAATTTCCAGGACTTTTCCAGGATTTCCTTGACCGTGAAAACCCTGAACAACAGGTGACTTTAAGGTGACGGGAAAATCTACTCGCATCAGTCAGGGTGAAATAATGAAATACAAATGAGATATCTGGCTTTTTATTGGTGTTGTCTGATACTAACGACTGAACGGCCAAGGGAAAAAAACACCTCCCCGCGCTCGAGTGCCCATTTCACTGAACACTGACAATAAACAATAAACAATAAACAGTTCACAAGCAGCTCACCAAACCACCGCAGTATTAGTCTCTGCTAACGTCCCCACAAGTCCCCAAACTTCCACGCCGCGCACTGAGTAAAGTTTTACCGACAGCTGTCCTCATGAAAACCACACTTCCAGAGTCTCGGTCCAGTTCAGTGTTTTTCCCAAAGCCCCACAGCTCCCACAGAGGAAAATAATCCCACAGCACGAGGAAAACGCAAAAATCCAAACGAGATATAGTCCACATTCACTCCACTTCCTCGACAGATGAGACACGAGGCCTCGACGGAGTGAGACGTCTCCTCGTCTGCTCGTTCCTCCACTTACAAACCCCGTGTGTCTGGAGTCTATGTACAGTTCACATAATAATAATAATAATACAAACATGTAAAGGGCCGTACACACACACAGAAATGTTTCCAACAAATAAACTAATGTTTGCAAGTTTCACTCCAGCTGAGTGAACAGTTTGTGAGGACCTGAGTGTCTTTATAACAGAAATACTCACAAAAATACAAGAGAAATACTCAGAAGTGTAAGAGTAAACAGATGAGTTTGTGGGGCAGGTTTGAGCAGAGAGAAGCTGTGTTCAGTGTTTAGGTGAAGGTGTGTGTGTGTGTGTGTGTGTGTGTGCGTGTGTGCGTGTGTGCGTGTGTGCGTGTGTGCGTGTGTGCGTGTGTGCGTGTGTGCGTGCGTGTGTGCGTGTGTGTGTGTGTGTGTGTGTGGTTAGGCACAAATATATAAGTTTAATATTAAACTCACAGGTGAACCTATCGGCGCTGCAGTGTGGGTGTGGGGCAGGTTGTGGGTTAGGTGGTGTATAGTTTATAGATCAGACTCACAGGTAAACAGCTGCGGTCGGCGCTGTGGTGTGGTTGTGGGTGTGGTTAGAGGTGTGGGTGTGGTTGTGGTTAGAGGTGTGGGTGTGGTTGTGGGTGTGGTTGTGGGTGTGGATGTAGATGTGGGTGTGGTTGTGAGTGTGGGTGTGGTTAGAGGTGTGGGTGTGGTTGTGGGTATGGTTGTGGGTGTGGTTGTGGGTGTGGTTGTGGTTAGAGGTGTGGATGTAGATGTGGGTGTGGTTAGAGGTGTGGTTGTGGGTGTGGTTAGAGGTGTGGATGTAGATGTGGGTGTGGTTAGAGTGTGTGGTTAGATGTGGGGTGGTTGTGGTGTGTTGTGTGTGGTGTGGTTGTGGTGTGGTTGTGGGTGTGTGGTCAGACTCACAGGTAAACAGCTGCGTGCTCGGTGTGGTGTGGGTGTGTGGGTGTGGATGTAGATGTGTGGGTGTGTGGTGTGGTTGTGGGTGTGGTTGTGGTGTGGTTGTGGGTGTGGTTGTGGGTGTGGTCAGACTCACAGGTAAACAGCTGCGGTCGGTGTGGTTGGGTGTGGTGTAGATGGTGGGTTGTGGTTGTGGTGTGTGGTGGTTGTGAGTGTGGTTGTGGGTGTGGTTGTGGGTGTGGTTGTGAGTGTGGTTGTGGGTGTGGTTGTGAGTGTGGTTGTGGTTAGAGGTGTGGTTGTGAGTGTGGTTGTGGGTGTGGTTGTGGTTGTGGGTGTGGTTGTGGGTGTTGTAGAGGTGTGGTTGGAGTGTGGTTGTGGTGTGGTGTGGTTGTGGTGTGGTTGTGAGTGTGGTTGTGGGTGTGGTTGTGGTTAGAGGTGTGGTTGTGGGTGTAGGTGTGGTTGTGGTTAGAGGTGTGGTTAGAGGTGTGGGTGTGGTTGTGGTTGTGGTGTGGGTTGTGGGTTGGTGTGGTTGTGGGTGTGGTTGTGGGTGTGGTCAGACTCACAGGTAAACAGCTGCGGTCAGCGCTGCGGTGTGGGTGTGGATGTAGATGTGGGTGTGGTTAGAGGTGTGGTTGTGGTTAGAGGTGTGGTTGTGGGTGTGGTTGTGAGTGTGGGTGTGGTTGTGAGTGTGGTGTGGTGTGGGTGTGGGTGGGTGTGTTGGAGTGTGGTTGTGGTGTGGTTGTGTGGTGGTTAGGTGTGGGTGTGGATGTGTGTGGGTGTGGGTTGTGGTTAGATGGTGTGGTTCGTTGTGGTTGTGGGTGTGGGTGTGGTTAGAGGTTGTGGTTGTGGGTGTGTGTTGTGGTTAGATGGTTGTGGTTGTGTGGGTTGTGGGTGTGGTTGTGGGTGTGGTAGAGGTGTGGGTGTGGTTGTGGGTGTGGTTGTGGTGTGGGTGTGGTTGTGAGTGTGGTGTGGTTGTGAGTGTGGGTGTGGGTTGTGTGTGGTTGTGAGTGTGGTTGTGGTGTGGTGTGGTGTGGTGGGTGTGTGTGGTTGTGGTTGGGTGTGGTCAGACTCACAGGTAAACAGCTGCGGTCGGCGCTGCGGTGCATTCGTTCCATGTTCAACATGGGCCTGAAGAGACGAATGTGATTATCGTCTCCCCTGAAAGCCTTCATCCCCTCGAACAACTGCACACAGACAGAGACACAGAGACACAGAGACAACAACATGAGGACAAGAGAGACAAGAGACAGAGGGGACGTCTTCATCCCCTCCAACAACTGCACACAGACACAGACACAGAATGAGGACAAGAGAAAGAGAGACAAGAGAGACAAGAGAGACAAGAGACAAGGGACGTCTTCATCCCCTCGAACAACTGCACACAGACACAGACACAGACATTAGACACAGAGACAACATAGAGGACAAGAGAGACAAGAGACAGAGGGGACGTCTTCATCATTTTATATAATTCATCTTTTATTACATTTATATAATCATACTGCACACACTTATTATTATATATTCTATTATATTATTAATTTTATCATTATCATTTTTATTACATTTATAATTATTATTTATTATATATTTTATCATATTTTATTACATTTTATATTATGTTTTATTACATTATTTATTATTATTCATTTTATTACATTTATTATACATTATTATTTATTACATTTATATAATTATTTATTACAATCTTTTATTACATTATTTATTACATTTTATTACATTTATTATATATTATTATCTTTTATTACATTTTATATAATTATCTTTTATTACATTTATATTATATGTTTTATTACATTTTATTATGTTTTATCTTTTATTACATTTATATAATTATTACATTTTATTAATTTTATATAATTATACATTTATTATTACATTTTATACATTTATATATTATTATTATTTATCATTATTATTATTTATTATAATTTTTATTACATTTATATAATTATCTTTATTACATTTTATATTATTACATTTATATAATTATTTTATTACATTTATTATATTATTCTTTTATTACATTTAATTATCTTTTATTATATTATTTTTTATATTACATTTATATTATGTTTTATTACATTTATATTATGTTTTATTACTTTTATATAATTATCTTTTATTACATTTATATAATTATGTTTTATTACATTTATATAATTATCTTTTATTACATTTATATAATTATGTTTTATTACATTTATATAATTATCTTTTATTACATTTATATTATTATGTTTTATTACATTTATATTATGTTTTATTACATTTATATAATTATCTTTTATTACATTTATATAATTATGTTTTATTACATTTATATAATTATGTTTTATTGCATTTATATAATTATGTTTTATTTGACTCGTGTCTCTTGCTCTTTTTTCTACTTATTTAGACTTTATTATCATCATGTTTATTTTTCTCTTTGTTATTAATTATTATATTTTGTGTCTTGTGTCCAGATCGTTTCCCTGTGGATCAGTTCAGTTTGCCTTTCTCCTCCTGTGGGCGGAGCCTCGTACAGGCTCGTACTGTTAACCGTAACAAGGGTTTGAATTTGGCCCAGGAGAGATCTCTAGATTACTCAGACACACATGGAGGACAGAACAGATCTGTCAGTCTGTCAAACACTGTACAGCAGCTAAAACCTTCTGACTGTTCAGGTGATGGAAACACCTCCAAACTCCTGAAGACTGGTCCTGCTCTTCTGATCATTCAGAACCTCCAGAACTCAGAACCTCCAGAACTCCAGAACTCAGAACCTCCCAGAACTCAGAACCTCCCAGAACTCAGAACCTCCAGAACTCAGACGGGTCCAGAACTCAGAACCTCCCAGAACTCAGAACCTCCCAGAACTCAGAACCTCCAGAACTCAGAACCTCCCAGAACTCAGAACCTCCAGAACTCCAGAACTCAGAGACTCCAGAAGCTCAGAACCTCCAGAGTCAGACTCCAGAGCTCAGAACTCAGACGGGTCCAGAGCTCAGAACCTCCCAGAGCTCAGACGGGTCCAGAGCTCAGACGGGTCCAGAGCTCAGACGGTTCCAGAGCTCAGACGGTCCAGAGCTCAGACGGGTCCAGAGCTCAGACGGGTCCAGAGCTCAGACGGGTCCAGAGCTCAGACCCTCAGGCTCTGTGTCCCAGAACATGGCTGTTCAGTCTTTGCTTAAAAAAATAAATAAAAACACAATCTGGATTCTGAGCTTCTGACAAACTTGAGGCACATTTTTGTAAGTTCTTTTTTTGACAAAAGTGTTGGAAAAATGGAGTTTTTCCTGGTGTCTCCTGAGTGAAGCGACGCCACAGCAGATCCTCCAGCCTCAGGGCAGAGCTGAAGATTCTGTTCATGTTAGTTTTTTAAATGTCTTAAATCTCTCCTTCCTCCCTTCCTTCCCTTCCTCCTTCCTCCTCCTCCTCCTCCTCCTTTCCTTCCTTCCTCCCTTCCTTCCTCCTTCCTCCCTTCCTCCTCCTTCCTTCCTTCCTCCTTCCTTCCTTCCTTCCTTCCTTCCTTCCTCCCTTCCTTCCTTCCTTCCTTCCTTCCTCCCTTCCTTCCTTCCTTCCTTCCTTCCTTCCTCTCTCTCTCTCTTTGTCTCTGAGCTTCTCAAACCAAACGTGGAGCTGGAGCTGGTCCTGGACTCTGGAACATTCCTCTGGGCATTAAAACGGCCAAGACTCTAAATATTTCTAAATCTCTGTTGGAATCTCCTTTGTATGCAGCAGCTGAAGCCCTCTGAAGCTCTCTGAAGCCCTCTGAAGCCCTCTGAAGCCCTCTGAAGCTCTCTGAAGCTCTCTGAAGCTCTCTGAAGCTCTCTGAAGCTCTCTGAAGCTCTCTGAAGCTCTCTGAAGCTCTCTGAAGCCCTCTGAAGCTCTCTGAAGCTCTCTGAAGCCCTCTGAAGCTCTCTGAAGCTCTCTGAAGCTCTCTGAAGCTCTCTGAAGCTCTCTGAAGCTCTCTGAAGCTCTCTGAAGCTCTCTGAAGCCCTCTGAAGCCTCTCTGAAGTCTGAAGCTCTCTGAAGCTCTCTGAAGCCCTCTGAAGCTCTCTGAAGCTCTCTGAAGCCTCTCTGAAGCTCTCTGAAGCTCTCTGAAGCTCTCTGAAGCTCTCTGAAGCTCTCTGAAGCCCTCTGAAGCTCTCTGAAGCTCTCTGAAGCTCTCTGAAGCTCTCTGAAGCTCTTCTTGAAGCCTCTGAAGCTCTCTGAAGCTCTCTCTGAAGCTCTCTGAAGCTCTCTGAAGCTCTCTGAAGCTCTCTGAAGCTGAAGCCCTCTGAAGCTTCTCTCTGAAGCCCTCTGAAGCCCTCTGAAGCTCTCTGAAGCTCTCTGAAGCTGAAGCTCTCTGAAGCCTCTCCTCTGAAGCCCTCTGAAGCTCTCTGAAGCTCTCTGAAGCTCTCTGAAGCTCTCTCTCTGAAGCTCTCTGAAGCCCTCTGAAGCTCTCTGAAGCTCTCTGAAGCCCTCTGAAGCCCTCTGAAGCTCTCTGAAGCTCTCTGAAGCTCTCTGAAGCTCATTTGAAGCTCTCTGAAGCTCTCTGAAGCTCTCTGAAGCTGAGTGGGGCTTCTGTGTTTGTCGTTTTGTCTGTGGAGCTTTGGACAGATGTGCTCGTTTTTAAATGTGCTTCAGAAATAAACTTGACTCTCTGGGCTCTTCAGGCAGGATCTTCATGAAGAACAGAGTTAGAACATGAGAAAGATCATCAAAAGTGGCTCCGAATTCATTTTTCTGAATTAAATAATTCGGAATTAAAATATTCTATTTCGTGTTTACATGAAAATAATAATTCTGAACTGAGGTTTACATGGAAAACTGGTTAAATCGTCTTTAATTCTGCTCAACGTCCAGAGGTCAGGAGTTGTTACAGGCCTTTGTCCTTTTGGTGTTTATTAATCCTGAGCTGCTGTTGCGTCTTCTGTTTTTGTGTCTGTGTAAATCTGGTCTGGACTTGGATTCGCCGGAGCCGAGTCCAGCAGACGCCCCCCCCCCCCCCCCAGGTTTGACCTCGATGGACCTGACTGACCCGGTGGACCTGACTCACCTTGATGGACCTGACTCACCTGGATGGACCTGACTGACCCGGTGGACCTGACTGACCTCGATGGACCCGACTGACCCGGTGGACCCGACTGACCTCGGTGGACCCGACTGACCCGGTGGACCCGACTCACCTCGATGGAGTAGTGCAGGGCGGAGGAGGCCGGGTGCAGGGACAGGTTCTGGAAGGGTTGGATCTTGGGACGTTCCCATCCGTCCGACTCGCTCCAGTTGATCAGCAGCATGTGGTCGGAGAAATGTTTCCCAAAAACCAGAGACGAAGAGTCCGGTTTGGGACGAGGGGACGAAGAGCGCTCCAGGGACACATCGGACGCCTGGGGACGCCTGGGGACACAGGACAGGAGGACGAGGACGGAGGACAGGAGGACGAGGAGGAGGAGGACAGGAGGAGGAGGACGAGGAGGACGAGGAGGACGAGGAGGACGAGGAGGACGAGGAGGACGAGGAGGACAGGAGGACAGGAGGACGAGGAGGACGAGGAGGACGAGGAGGACGAGGAGGACGAGGAGGACGAGGAGGACGAGGAGGACGAGGAGGAGGACGAGGAGGACGAGGAGGAGAGGAGGACGAGGAGGACAGGAGGACGAGGAGGAGGACCGAGGAGGACGAGGAGGACGAGGAGGACGAGGAGGACGAGGAGGGACGAGGACGAGGACGAGGACGAGGAGGACGAGGAGGACGAGGAGGAGGAGGACAGGAGGACGAGGAGGACAGGAGGACGAGGAGGACGAGGAGGACGAGGAGGACAGGAGGAGGAGGACGAGGAGGAGGAGGAGGAGGAGGACAGGAGGAGGAGGACAGGAGGAGGAGGAGGACGAGGAGGACGAGGAGGACAGGAGGAGGAGGACGACAGGAGGACGGACGAGGAGGACGAGGAGGACGAGGAGGAGGACGAGGAGACGAGGAGGACAGAGGAGGACAGGAGGACGGAGACGAGGACGAGGAGGACGAGAGGACGAGGAGGACGAGGACGAGGAGGAGGAGGAGGACGAGGAGGACGAGGAGGAGACAGGAGGACAGGAGGACAGAGAGGACGAGGAGGACGAGGAGGACGAGGAGGACGAGGAGGACGAGGAGGACGAGGAGACGAGGAGGACGAGGAGGAGGAGGACGAGGAGGAGGACGAGGAGCGAGGACGAGGAGGAGGAGGACGAGGAGGAGGACGAGGAGGAGGAGGAGGAGGGAGGAGGAGGAGGACAGGAGGACGAGGAGGACGAGAGGAGGACAGGAGGAGGAGGACAGGAGGAGGAGGACGAGGAGGAGGACTGGAGGCGAGGAGGACGAGGAGGACGAGGAGGACGAGGAGGACGAGGAGAGGAGGACAGGAGGACAGGAGGAGGACGAGGACAGGAGGAGGGAGGACGAGGAGGACAGGAGGAGGAGGACGAGGAGGAGGAGGACGAGGAGGACGAGGAGGACCGAGGAGGACAGGAGGAGGAGAGAGGAGGACGAGGAGGACAGGAGGACGAGGAGGAGGACAGGAGAGAGGACGGAGGACGGAGGAGGAGGACGAGAGGACGAGGAGGAGGACAGGAGGACGAGGAGGACGAGGAGGACGAGGAGGACGAGGAGGACGAGGAGGACGAGGAGGAGGACGAGGAGGACGAGGAGGAGGACGAGGAGGACGAGGAGGAGGAGGACGAGGAGGACGAGGAGGACGAGGAGGACGAGGAGGACGAGGAGGAGGAGGAGGAGGACGAGGAGGACGAGGAGGACGAGGAGGACGAGGAGGAGGACGAGGAGGAGGACGAGGAGGACAGGAGGACGGAGGAGGACGAGGAGGACGAGGAGGACGAGGAGGAGGACGAGGAGGACGAGGAGGACGAGGAGGAGGAGGACGACGAGGGGAGACGAGGAGACGACGAGGAGGACGAGGAGGACAGGAGGACGAGGAGGACGGGAAGAGGACGACAGGAGGAGGACAAGAATGGAAGAGAGGACAGGAGGACAGGAGGAGGACGAGAAGACAGGAGGACGGGAAGAGAAGAGAGGAGAGGAAGAGAGGACAGGAGGACGGGACAAGGAGAGGAGGATAACAGGAAAGGAAGAGAGGAGAGGAGGAGAAGAGGACAGGAGGAAAGGGAGAAGTGGAGAGGACAGGAGGAGACGATTGGAGGACAAGGAGAGGAGGAGGACAGGAGGAGAAGACGAAGATGGGAGGACGGGAGAAGTGGAGAGGACGAGAGGAGGAGGAAGAGGGGAAGAGGAGGAGGAGGAGGAGGAGGAGAGAGGAGGAGGAGGAGGAGGAGAAGAGAGGAGGAGGAGGAGGAAGAGGAGGAAGGAGGAGGAGGAGGAGGAGGAGGAGGAGAGAGGAGGAGAGAGGAGGAGGAGAAGAGAGGAGGAGGAGAAGGAGAGGAGAGGAGGAGAGGAGGAGAGGAGGAGGAGAGAGGAGGAGAGAGAGGAGAGGAAGGAGAAGAGGAGAGGAGGGAGGAGGAGGAGGAGGAGGAGAGGAGAGGAAGAGGAGGAGAAGAGAGGAGAGGAGGAGGAGGAGAGGAAGAGGAGAGGAGAAGGAGGAGAGGAGGAGAAGAGGAGAGGAGGAGGAGGAGAAGAGGAGAGGAGAGAGAGAGGAGAAGAGGAGGAGGAGGAGGAGGAAGAGGAGAGGAGAAGGAGGAGAAGAGAAGATGGGAGGACGGGAGAGTGGAGAGGAGAAGGAAGAGGAGGGAAGGAGGAGGAGGAGGAGAGGAGGAGAGGAGGGAGAGGAGGAGAGGAAGAGGAGGAAGAGGAGGAGAGGAGGAGGAAGAGGAGGAGGAGGAGAAGGGAGGAGGAGGAGAGGAAGAGGAGAGAGGAGGAGGAGAAGAGGAGGGAGAAGAGGAGGAGGAGGAGGAGGAGAGAAGAGGAGGAGGAGAAGAGGGAGGAGAGGAGAGGAGGAGGAGGAGGAGGAGGAGGAGGAGAGGAGGAGGAGAGGAGGAGGAAGAGGAGGAGGAGGAGGAGAGGAGAGGAGGAGGAGGAAGAGGAGAGAGAGAGGAGAGAAGGAGGAGAAGAGGAGGAGGAGGAGGAGGAGAGAAGAGGAGGAGGAGGAGGAGGAGGAGGAGAGAGAGGAGAGGAGGAGAAGAGGAGGAGGAGGAGGAGAGGAAGAGAGAGGAGGAGAGGAGGAGGAGGAGGAGGAAGAGGAGGAGGAGGAGGAGAGGAGGAGGAGGAGAGGAGGAGGAGGAGAAGGAGGAGGAAGAGGAGGAGGAGGAGGAGGAGGAGAAGAGGAGGAGGAGGAGGAAGAGGAGGAGGAGGAGGAAGAGGAGGAGAGGAGGAGAGAGAGAAGAGGAGGAGAGGAGGAGGAGGAGAGAGGAGGAGAGGAGGAGAGAGGAGGAGAGGAGAGAAGAGGAGAAGAGGAGGAGGAGGAAGAGGAGGAAGAGGGAGGAGAAGAGGAGAGAGGAGGAGGAGAGAGGAGGAGAGAGGAGAGAGGAGGAGGAGGAAGAGGAGGAGGAGGAGAGAGGAGGAAGAGAGGAGAGGAAGAGGAGAGAGAGAGAGGAGAGGAGGAGGAGGAGAGGAGGAGAGAGGAGAAGAGGAGGAGGAGGAGGAGAGGAGGAGGAGGAGGAGAAGAGGAGGAGGAGGAAGAGGAGGAAGAGGAGGAGGAAGAGGAGAGGAGGAGGAGGAAGAGCGATCGGACAAACAGTGATTTTGATTTTTTTTATTACACATAAACAGGGACGTCACAGGTCAAAGAGTCAGATGCCCTCCCTGTGAGCGGAGGAGTTTAAAGCTGCACTCTGTCACTTTTTGGCTGCTCGTTTCCATAGAGACGTCGCAGCTCTGTCCAGAATGTTCCGCAGTGTGACTTTAAACAGCTCCACTTCACATTTATTCAGTTTTACGTCTCAGACTGTGAAACTTCTCCGTCTGGTTCGGTCTCCGTGGAAACAGAAAGCTTTAATGTCACACTGCGGGACATTCCAGCCCGAGCAGCGGCGTCGCCCTGGAGACGGCGTCGCCCCGGTGACCTGGTGCCGTGGGGCTTGGACTTTTTGACGTGTGACTCCTGCAGACAGAAGCTTCGTTCCAGACGTGAAGCAAAAACAGAGGAATTATTTTAGCCCCAATTCAATTCAAACACAATTAAACACATTTAATTAAAACAATTAAACATTTTAAATGTAAATTAAAGTAATTCAACAAATTTAGAAACATCAAAAACAGACGAGAACAGAGACAAGAAAAAAAAACATTAAACGAGAGGAAAAGAGGAGAAACTTCTCCCACTGAAACGTCTAAAGAGTCAAAAGTGACAAAAACTTCAGGTCATGTTTTAAATGTTTTAAATGTTCTAAATGTTCCTCTTCAAAATCAGAGCTGGAGTTGTGTTTTGTTTCATTCACACGTTTATGGTTTAGTCCTGGTTTAGTCCTGGTTCAGTCCTGGTTTAGTCCTGGTTCAGTCCTGGTTTAGTCCTGGTTCAGTCCTGGTTTAGTCCTGGTTCAGTCCTGGTTTAGTCCTGGTTTCAGTCCTGGTTAGTCCTGGTTTAGTCCTGGTTTAGTCCTGGTTTAGTCCTGGTTTAGTCCTGGTTCAGTCCTGGTTCAGTCCTGGTTTAGTCCTGGTTCAGTTTCAGTCCTGGTTCAGTCCAGTTCAGTCCTGGTTCAGTCCTGGTTCCAGGTTCAGACCAGGTTCAGTCCAGTTCAGTCCTGGTTCAGTCCTGGTTCAGTCCTGGTCAGTCCAGTCCTGGTTCAGTCCTGGTCCTGGTTCAGTCCTGGTTCAGTCCTGGTTCAGTCCTGGTTTAGTCCTGGTTCAGTCCTGGTTCAGTCCTTCTGGTTAGTCCTGGTTCTGGTTTAGTCCTGGTTCAGTCCTGGTCAGGTTCAGTCCTGGTTAGTCCTGGTTTAGTCCTGGTTTAGTCCTGGTTCAGTCCTGGTTTAGTCTGGTTTAGTCCTGGTTTAGTCCTGGTTCAGTCCTGGTTGTCCTGGTTTAGTCTGGTTTAGTCCTGGTTTAGTCCTGGTTAGTCCTGGTTCAGTCCTGGTTCAGTCCTGGTTTAGTCCTGGTTTAGTCCTGGTTTAGTCCTGGTTTAGTCCTGGTTCAGTCCTGGTTCAGTCCTGGTTTAGTCCTGGTTTAGTCCTGGTTTAGTCCTGGTTTAGTCCTGGTTTAGTCCTGGTTCAGTCCTGGTTCAGTCCTGGTTTAGTCCTTTTGAAGATGAAAGCTCCAAACGTTCTGTTCCACCTCGTGATGTCATGAAGTGGTAGTTTTCTAGTGAACAGCTCCTTTTAGATCCGCGACTCCAAATGATCCAGGTGATTCTGGTGAAGCTGTGTGGAGTTTAAAAACACAGTGGAGCACTTCCTGTATCACCACACGATGACATCACGAGGTGGAGCAGAGTGTTTGTTTGTGTGTTAAACATGTGACTGAAACAAAACCCGTCACACGAGGCTCAGAAGCTTCACGTTCACGACTGAGGTTCTGCAGAAGTGAAAGTACCTTAAAAGAACTGGAGAGACGCACGGACGCCAACGACGGAAGAACCTGCACCACACGCCCACGGGTCATCTGAAAACACACGAGCATCTGTGAGACCCGGAACCGCCCGGAACCGCCCGGAACCACCAAGAACCCCCCGGAACCGCCCGGAACCGCCCGGAACCACCCGGAACCACCCAGAACCCCCCAGAACCACCCGGAACCCCCCGGAACCCCCCGGAACCCGCCCGGAACCACCAAGAACCCCCCGGAACCCCCCGGAACCATCCAGAACCCCCCGGAACCCCCCGGAACCACCCGGAACCACCCGGAACCATCCAGGAACCCCCCGGAACCCCCCGTAACCCCCCGTAACCACCCGGAACCACCCGGAACCCATCTGTGAGACCCAGAACCCCCGGAACCCCCCGGAACCACCCGGAACCCCCCGTAACCGATCTGTGAGACCCAGAACCACCCGGAACCACCCAGAACCACCCGGAACCACCCGGAACCCCGGAACCCCGGAACCCCCCCGGAACCACCCGGAACCCCCGGAACCCCCAGAACCCCCCGGAACCACCCAGAACCACCCGGAACCCCCCGAACCACCCAGAACCACCCAGAACCACCCAGAACCACCCAGAACCACCCAGAACCGATCTGTGAGACCCAGAACCCCCCGGAACCACCCGGAACCACCCAGAACCACCCAGAACCACCCAGAACCACCCAGAACCCCCCAGAACCGATCTGTGAGACCCAGAACCACCCGGAACCCCCCGGAACCACCCAGAACCACCCAGAACCACCCAGAACCACCCAGAACCCCCCAGAACCGATCTGTGAGACCCAGAACCCCCGGAACCCCCCGGAACCACCCAGAACCACCCAGAACCCCCCAGAACCACCCAGAACCGATCTGTGAGACCCAGAACCGTTGTGTGGGTCTGAGAGTCAAACACACTGGGAGGCGTCTGTTCAGGTTTGTTCTTTCTTATTTTGTCACAAATCTCAAATTCAAACTCCATTTCGATACTAAGGAACAGACTCGATACTCGATACTCGATACTCGATACTGATAAAAAAACCACGATGAAAATAAAACCTTCTTTTTTAGATGATTTTCTGTGATTTCCTACATTAAAAATGGTGGAACTTTCTCTTCTTGTTCTTTTGTTGTTGTTTCTTCTTCTCACGTCAACCGAGAATTTGGGAAACGTTTTAAATCTGACATAAAGTCGTTTATTTGTGTCAAATGTTTAATTTTCCTGTGAGCAACACAAAGTTCATCTGAAACTCAAACGTTTTAATCATCGAAACAGTGAAAATGTCAAATATGTCGCAGAAACGAGTTTCTTCCTCTGAACAAACAAAACTGGAACTAAATTATTTAGTCAAATAAACCAAAATATCCTGGATCGATACAACAGCCCACGATATCGATACTGAATCATCGCATTAAACAATACCATATATTTTTTCACACCTCTATTTGGGATATAACGATATCGAAATCCCTCGATACGATATTTTCACAAGATGCATCTCACAGTTCGATATTTATAGTGATATTTTGTGGAGACTTAAAAAACTGAAAATGAGACGAATAAAAACAAATCAGAAACAGAAAAACAAACCGAGCGTCGTCCTTCATGTTTCTGTCCACAGTGAAACTTTAAACTTTTTAACATGAAACCGAGCGGTGAAAAGTTTCAGCTCCGACTCTTTAACACATTTACACAGTTTCATAAAATTTGTTCTGATTTTTTTTTTTTTTTTTGATAAACACGTCTGTTCCTCTGAAATCATATCGACTATTTCAGATTTTGTGATGATTCTGACAGGAGATTGTTGTTTATTTTGAACATGATTTTCAAAGTGTAAAGGTCGAAAAATTGTCAAATTTCAGAGTTTGAAGGTTTATAAAGAACATATAGTTTGATTTATTATAAGTTTGTTATAAGTGTGTGATGCTCTTATTGCCTTTTTTTTTGCAGATAAAGATTCAATTTGTATTAATCTTAAATGTGTCGCCCCAAACTTCAGCAGCGCAGCTTCTGTCGCTCAGATGTACAGAAGAAAAAGACGGATTTTCTCTAGGATTTATTTATATTTATACATAATAATTCTTTCTTCATGTCGTCTGCACTGACGCTGCAAAGGATCATGGTCTATGTAGTTCCTCTGTTTTTTTAAACTGCTGCACCACGACAAAGCAAAGAGTTTATTTGTAAAGCCCAATTCAAACACAAAGTAAAACTAAATGTTTTACAGAATAACAACATTAAAATTAGAGCCCGACCGATATGGATTTTGTTGTGGCCGATATGAAACCGATATATTTAGTGATGTAAAAATTCACTGTAAATCTTGAATTGTTTAAAACACTTAGGTTTGGCTCTAGTGGATTTTAAACTGGGTTTATTTAGGAAACATTTATTGTTGTTCTGCCTCTTTACATCATATTTACAGACAGTAGTTTGACTTAATGACATTTTGCATCACATTCTAGACACTAGTGATGGGGATTCCAGTTTATTTTTTGGAGAAACGGCTCTTTTGGCTCGGCTCACTAAAGCAGCTGACTCTTTTGGCTCCCAAGAGACTCTTGAGATTGTTTTGTTGCAAGCAGGACTAAACCAGAACTGAACCAGGACTGAAAAAGGACTAAACCAGGACTAAAACAGATTTAAACCATGTGTAAAACAGGACTAAACCAGAACTGAACCAGGACTGAAAAAGGACTAAACCAGGACTAAAACAGATTTAAACCATGTGTAAAACAGGACTAAACCAGAACTGAACCAGGACTGAGTGTCGGGACTCGGTCTCTCCTTCACTTAAGCCCAAGTTTAGTCCTGGTTTATTCATTTTATGCTGAACTGCAGCCAAATATGCACTTTTTTTATCCTATTCACACGCAGATTTCTGAAAGTTTCGTTTTCAGCCGCTGCTGCTGCCAAACTACGGGTCGACATGCGGCATGAAGAGAAAAAGTGAGAAAAAGAGAAAACACGGCTCCAATAAGAAACAGGCTCCTGTTGTTCACTTCAAAGAGCCGAATCTAAGAGCCGCTTCGATCGCGACCCATAACTCCTGCTAGTAAATAAACTATCGCTATTAGCCTTTAGCTGTAAAAACGTGCGCACGGCGGTAATTAATTCTATGCATAAATGTGGATCATTCACACGTCTGTTCACAGCTCATTTACATCAATACTGGTTCAGTAACAAATATATGAACAATGTAAAGACTTTACAATAGACCAATAGAAAACAGTCTGTTTATGTGCAGGAGCTACAGCAGCTAACCGCTAACAAAACCTAAACTAGCTTCAAAGTCGATGTATTTCCAACACTCAGCCTCACACAGGCTCCTCCCACATCACACAGGCTCCTCCCACATCACACAGGCTCCTCCCACATCACACAGGCTCCTCCCACATCACAAGTCTGAACTAATAAATGTCCTTTTAATCCAGACTCAAACCGATTGTCCGTAAAAAGAAAATAATCTCAGTGTTGCGCACGGCTGCAGGTGTAAACAAACACACGTGAGTGAAGTGACTCTGTGGTGTGTTCAGGGACAGTACGACACAGACAAATTACACCGTAGATAAATACTGACGTAGAGTCACATATGAGGACATTTATCTGTGTGTAAATTGGATTAAATGAACAGAATGTAGAGAGTCTAAGATTTATAACGAGGTGTAACATGCCCACGGTGAAATATCGGCCCCTATCAGCAAACATATCGGCCGATAGCCGATATGTCTCCAGGTGCCCATATTGGCCGATAATATCGGCCAGCCGATATATCGGTCGGGCTCTAATTAAAATCACAAAAAAGGATTTAGAAACACCAGAACTGTTCATTGAAGTGAAGACATTTGTAATTTGATAAACTGTGACGGCCTCAGATGATGTGAGACTTTTGACGATCCGATATTCTGACGATATTTCAGTTTTTTGTTACGTCCTGATCTTGTGCAGGTGGTTGTAAAGTTCAGTAAAGAGACGACACACGTGTTGAAGCTCTTATTGTGTTCAGGGTTTTTGTTTGTAAATGTTCCTCTGTGTTTTGTTGTTTGTTTCTGATCACGTGAAAGTGACGAGCGCCTGCGGCCGCCGCCGCCGCCGCCGCCGCCGCCGCCGCCGCCGCCGCCGCCGCCGCCGCCGCCGCCGCCGCCGCCGCAGGCGAAAGTAAATATTTACTGGAGTTTGTTTTTTTGGTCACAAAACAAACAGTTTGAGAAGCTCCAGGACGTTTCTGCTCCAATCAAGATTAAAATTTAACCTCATTAAAAAATCATGAGGAAAATGTTTAAACATAAAAACTATAAAAACAAACCAACTGTGACAACAACAACACACACACACACACACAACACACACACACACACACACACACACACACACACACACACACACACACACACACACACACACACACACACACACACACACACACACACACACACACACACACACACACACACACACACACACACACACACACACACAACTACACACACACACACACACACACACCACACCACACACACACACACACACAACCATCACAACACACACACACACACACACACACACACAACACACAACAACACACACACACACACACACACACAACACACACACACACACACACACACACACACACACACACACACACACAACACACACACACACACACACACACACACACACACACACACACACACACACACACACAACACACACACACACACACACACACACACACACACACACACACACACACACACACACACACACACACACACACACACACACACACACACACACACACACACACACACACACACACACACACACACACACACACACACACACACACACACACACACACACACACACAACACACACACACACACACACACACACACACACACACACACACACACACACACACACACACACACACACACACACACACACACACAACACACACACAAACACACACACACACCACCACAACACACACACACACACACACACACACAACACACACACACACACACACAC